TATTATTATATTAGTTTCATTAAAAATAATTTCTCTCTACATATAAAAAACTTCGAAAAGGTATATGAGAGCATTATAATTTTTTAATAGATAATTCTATTATTTTGCAGTGATTATCATTTCATTAATTATCTTGTTTTTATAAGATTAGAACGTCTTATTTTTTTAGGCGATATAAATCTTGTAGATATATTTGTGGCGAGTGAAAGTATACTTATAAAATTTTACGATTGGCTGCTTGAAGTAAAGTTTAAAATTGCATTGTTGACACAACTACTTTTAGCAAATTACTTTTGTTTAGTTATTTCTACTTAAAGATTAAGATAATGTTTAGTACTAGTTTATGTAAACTAAAATCTGGATGTAAAACCAGATTTAATTTTCAGCGATAGCTGATAATATTTAGAAACGACAATTAATTAAAATAATATCGAATATAGTAGGATAATACAGCCACACATTTATAGTATTATACACATAATTAGTACAATATATTTACTTTACCATTACTGTTATAATCCAACATTTTACGGCATTTTTTCAGCTTATTTTACCATGCTTTTGCTTATTCTAGATAATAATTTCAATAAGTTATAAGACGTAATAAAGAGGATATAAGACATAATTTTCAATTTTAGTTTTGCATTTTTAATCGCATTTTGTACTTTGATATAATAATTTGACATTGATATAATAAAATCAAGACTTTCATTATATACGATAGTAAGTTATGTAAAACATGATGACACATTTCTAGAAAAAAGACTGGCATATGTTACCCGTGAGAGAAGAAAATCTCGCAACAAACTAATAATGCAATAGCGATAAGACATTTATGACATTGATGTAAAAACATTATCCTATGACATAACACATCTGAATGAATATATTCGAGGAGAAATCAGCGATGCATACTGTCTTTGAAAGCTTCGTCCTTAGACCTCGTTGCCGAAATAGGGGATCCATTATTCATCGGTAACTTCGCAAGATTTTTCTCATGCAAGCTCTCGGACATTTTAGTAAGTGAATTTTACTATGCAGACGAGACTGCACCGAGGAGGGAAATAGCGTGCAGAATATTCGCCTACAACACACTGCACTTTTATGACAACTATACGAAGGAATTCTTCCTTATCCAAAGCACGGATAGCAGCAATTGCTTTTTCAACGCTCTGTATTCGGTGCTCCTTTGTGACCTATCCGGGAATATATGGTTCTGTATTTCCAAAGGGATAACTGGTGCGCAAGTCACGGATCCTTTAGATTTTGACGTCGATGTCATCCCGAGTTACGAAGCGTAAAAAGCTGAGATGATTTACTTTCGCAATAAATTATGTCAGACTTAGATTTATTTTACAAAGGAAAATATAAACATAATATGTGAATATATTGAATTTTATTATATAATGGTTTCATTATCATATGATTGACGATAATTTGACATTCTACAGCAATGGTTGGAATTAATTTCCAGCTGCATCGATTATTTCATCGATCAATATGGTCGTCTACGTCCTACGTCAACTAACGTACATTCTTTGACATGTCTGTGTATATAGTCCAAGTCTAATTAGAGATAGAATATATGCTTCGAGGTTGTTACGTGTATTGCAATATTTACTGTTTTCTTTTTTATCTGCGAGCTATACATTGTATTGACGAAGCTATTGTTGTTATTTTAGAAAATATGCACATAGTTACAATAGCTTACTCCTTTTTGCAATTAAACACATGTTATCTGTTTTTATATTTTTAATACTTTATTTTTTGTTAGTAATTCAAAATTAATTTTGTTTTTAATAACGGCTGTCTATATATATAATCTCTTCATACATATATCAAAAAAGAAAATTACATTATTATCTTTAGAAAAAAATAATTTTAATTATTAATATATACATGAGAATATATTTATTGGCAACCAAAACAATTTTTATCAGATTATTGGTAAGTGATAACTTGATAGAAAATTTATTCATGGTCATGTAAATAAAAAGAACATATAGTCAAATAACGAATATAGCTCGCAGATTTTTAGATACAAGATTTTTGAAATTAATGTTAACTAAGAAGTTGAAAGATGTATAAACAAATATAATTACAAATTTTACAGATATGCGCTGTTGAGTTAATTTTTATAGGAAAAAATTACGTTATGTGTTCGCAATATTAATTTCAGATGATACGGTTCTTTTCGATATTACTGCCTTAACAAACGACTATTTTAATTCGACAGAACAATGTGCGAAATTCTCAGGAATTATCTCGATCCCTTTCTACGCAGTGACGAGCAAGCGGAATCGTTTCCGTGTGCATGCTCATCAGTCTACCAGGGACAACGTGTTGAGGCATATAGGAAAACGAGGAAACTTCGCTACAGCGAATTTCCATTTAGAGAGATTTTGCGATACCCGCAGAGTCGGTGTAAGTCTTCACGGATTGGCGCAAGATAAGAACAACTTCTATCCCTTTCTTCTGCTGGAAATTGAAAATAAGTAGCTACAGATTGTATGATAATCTGACTTTTCAGCCATTCGCAGTATCCTTTGCCCTTTTGTAAACGAGACAATGCTTTGCAGAGACACAACGACTATTGGTTTCTAACTATTAATTATGCAGCAGAATACCGTTGTATTGTGTTTCTTAATTGTGTGAAAAAGAGAATATTTATGTAAAATATTATATATATATATATATGTGTGTGTAGAGCAGATTATATAAATGTTTTTGTAATAAGCAAAAATTATGTATGTATGATTTTTTGCTCCAGATTTATCATGTTGAATATTTTGTAAAATAATTTTGAATTTTTTCTTTAAAAAGTATACATTTTTTATTTTAATTAATATTAAAGTATATAAAGGAAGAGATGCTTGAATAAGAATATGCGGTTTCTAAAAAATTTATTTCTACGCATCTTTAGAATTAATTTTTATTAATCAAAAAGAAAATATTACAGATATTCTTAATATATGCATTATGTTTCATGAATCACTGCTATTTTTGTGACTCACTGTTGACATAAATGTGCTCTTTATCTATTACATAACCTGCTTTACATACAAATATATGTATGTAAGAGTGTCTGTGTGTGTGAAATGTTTTATTAATGAACGAATTTTATCGTAACATTTTTATTAATACTGCACATTAAGTTTATTTTTTAAATATTTTAGAAATGACATTACGATATGTACAATACAATTATGCGTGTAAAGACACGCAGTAACAAATTGATAGTATCTATTAATAAAAGCCGATATATGCGAAAATTGCGGTTTCAGCGTGGTATATGTCCTTCGAAAGGTTTCAACGCGGGCCAAGGGTGAATTGCAAAGGGCGGTCCAAGGCCATTTATTATCCCTATTATCGTGCTTCTGACCTCACTGTCTGCTCCCTCAGGACTTGAACACACCTATAACATACAATCCCCTTTCACTCTCGACAATGCTGCCCTTGTCTCGCTATCGAAATATAGTCGACAGCATCGATAGTCTTGGACTACATGTTCGATTGCGTTTTATCGAACATTTGTCTCTCTACTATTTATGACAATTGGTTGACAATAAAATAGTCTACGGCCTACGGTTAAAAGATTCAATATTTGGTTATTAAAGATAGGAAGTAGCACAAGAGGATATTTGTTCAGAGGATGTAGTTATAGACATTGCTTTCCAAACATAAGTTTTTAAAGAAATAATTTTTTAAGAAGGAAGAGAGACGCTTAAGAAAATTCTTACAAATATTGCCATATAACATATTATGTATATATGTAATCGTAATTCGTCTTTCAACATCTCTGAAACATTATTACTAAAATATATGTGTATATTATAACACCATTTTTGTGTGTAATTTTAATTTGGCATTTATTTATCATTTGTTATGATAGTGTCTAAATATTCTATTGTATGCTATAATTTTTATTTTCTACGTAGCAATATGTTAATAAGATTATTTACTTTTTACAATCAAACAATACAATAAATAGGCCAACTTTTGAGCCGAATAATTACGAAATTAAAAGATTTTTTATTACATCATATGCAAATAATACATAAAACTTAAAATTTTATCATAAACAATAAAATAAAAAATATGTGATAATACACCTGATACACCACTTAAAGAACCATACCGTGTAAACGTTTCGACAGTACAACTGTCTTCTTCACTACAAAAAATCCTCCGAAATAATAAAGAAACTGAATTTAAAAATTTCTTTATTTTCAGTTTCTTTATTATTAATAAAATAAAAAGTAAATAAATGATAATGATATAAAAAAATAAAAAATTACGCTAAGGCTCGTTTATAAATTACAATCAAACAATAAAATAAATAGGCCTTTTGAGCTGAATAATTACGAAATTAAAAGATTTTTTATTACAACATATGCAAATAATACATAAAACTTAAAATTTTATCATAAACAATAAAATAAAAAATATGTGATAATACATCTGATACACCACTTAAAGAACCATTACATAACGTATTAACGTTTCGACAGTACAACTGTCTTTTTCACTACAAAAAATCCTCCGAAATAATAAAGAAACTGAAAATAAAGAAACTGAATTTAAAAATTTCTTTATTTTCAGTTTCTTTATTATTTCGGAGGATTTTTTGTAGTGAAAAAGACAGTTGTACTGTTGAAACGTTAATACGTTATGTAATGGTTCTTTAAGTGGTGTATCAGATGTATTATCACATATTTTTTATTTTATTGTTTATGATAAAATTTTAAGTTTTATGTATTATTTGCATATGTTGTAATAAAGAATCTTTTAATTTCGTAATTATTCAGCTCAAAAGGCCTATTTATTTTATTGTTTGATTGTAATTTATAAACGAGTCTTAGCGTAATTTTTTATTTGTTTATATCATTATCATTTATTTACTTTTATTTTATTAATGGATATTTTTGAGAATTCTTTACACTACCATATATGTAATTATTTGTGTGAATGTACATATGTATATGTATGTGTGTGTATATAATATCCATTGATAAAATAAAAAGTAAATATAATGTATATACAAAAACATATTACATTAGTCAATGTTTAATTTTCTAAATGTTCCTGAAACTCCAAACAGATCATCTGGATTTATTACAGAATTTGATCGAAGAGATTCATTAACTTTAACATTTTCTTGCTCCAGAAACCATTTTCTTCGTTCTTTCAATTTTGCTTGCCACATATCTGAAATATCATAAAAACTTGAAATATTCTTCAATATTTAAATTATGAACAGTTACAGATTATTAAATTTAAATTCTTAATAATTAATTAAACAAGTTTGTCACCAAAAATAAATAATTAATAATCAAATACATAATGATTAAAGAAAACATATTTTTTTACTATATATAAATATATATTTAAATGAAATATTATCATTTATTTTCTAATTTTTTACATATCGCTTTAAATATGAAAATTCGAGATGTCAATAATACTACACATATGCATTTTTCAAAAACAATATTGTACCTGAAATAATATTTATTGATGATTGTTCACCGCCATATTCTATTGGTAAAAGATGCCTTGGTATAATCCCGTATAATGACTCTGCTCCAGATGTATAAACATGTATCTAAAATAATCGTAATTAAAATTATTATTTAATTATATTATTCCATTTTAATTCATACATACAAAATATAAAAATTATGTAATAATTACGCAAAAATTTTTATAATATCAATTGAATTTTAATCTATACTTACTCTGTCTATAAGCTTTGCTTTCATCACTGTTTTAATCATTGATACTAATAAATTGATAAAACTTGGTGCATTTATCATATAAAGTGCTTTGATTCTTGTACCAAATGATTCCTATAAATAAATTGATAGAATAATAAAAATTAATTTTTACAAAGTATACAGGATGTCCCAGAATTACTGTATCACACGTTAATGGGAGATTCCTGAAGCGATTTGGAGACGATTTTTCCTCAGCGAAAATGTCGAGAAAGGTCATCATTTTTTTAATGTTCTCAATTTTTGAAATCATGTATCTTTGTAACTAAGCCTTAAATTAAAATTCTATTAAAGTAAATTTTACCTGAAATTAACTAAAAAATGTAGTTTTGTTAATAATTTATTTTTACAAGGCTTACAAAAAAGCTTTTATTTTCAATCATTTATAACTCGAAAATTATTGGTGTCTGGACATTTTCGTTGAGGAAAAATCGTCTCCAAATCGCCTCAGGAATCCCCCATTAACGTGTGATACGGTAATTCTGGGACACCCTGTATATTATGTATATAGTAAAATAAATAATTTCTTACCAACATAAGATCCGTTTTTTTTAATATAGTTGGTGTATATTTTATAATATGATTGACAGTTAAATTGCTACAATCATAAATAATAACGTCGCAATTAACTATATCTTCCTCTATACGTGTCTCAAATATCATAGAGCAATATCTGTAATATTTAAAATAGTATATAATAGTATATTTCTTGATTCCATCTTGATATCTTAATTTACAAAGACGAATAATTTTATAGATATATATTATTCTATGTATATATATATATATATATATATATACACATACGTATTATATATATAAAAATATTATATATATATATATATATATATATATATATATATGTATATATATATATATATATATATATATATATGTATATATATATATATAAACTAGTTGTATAAAAATATCAACAATTAATCGTTGCTTATCAAATCTGATAAATATAATTCGTCTTAAATTGCTTTATTTGACTGAAATGATAAATATCTTATCCCGATATATTAGAAGAATACGCACGAACAAAAAGTAGCAACAGATTTTTTATGCATTTTCTTTTTCATCGCGTTTTACCGAAGCTATCGATTTTAGCTTTTTCTCTCGATATGCATTGTTCAGAATAGTGGAACTGTAGTAGTAGAGGAAAGAGCAGGGCGTGAAGGTATCTTGTTTCTATCTCATTATCGATAATAGCAAGCACAAGAGAAGGGGGTTTGCATACTTAACTTGCACGGGGAGAGAGGGAGAGAGGAAATATAGACCGGAAAAAAAGATTTCAAAGATTGTGCGGAATAAAGCGAGAGATCCGAGAATAATCGGCTGGATAACGCTTTGTGAAAGTGCTTAAACTGAAATCGCGGCATAATAACATTAAATAATAATTTCGTCAGTAGTGAGAATTATATTATCGCGTAAATCACAATAATTTGGAAAGTCATGCCACGTTTGTAGTGCCGCAAAAAATTCAATTATATTCTTTTTATTTTATATTTTTATGATATGATAATTATATTATCTTGTAAATTTTTAGTTTCTTTAAAGTTTACTTTTACATCTTGTAATTTGTACATAATTTTTTTTGTTTATGCGTGATCGTGAAAATACATGATAAGATCCGATAATTCATAAATTTTGTACAGAAAATATTATGAGAAAATATATATATACCTATATTTACACGCTAGAAGAAAAAGTATTTGTAAAAGAAAAAATTGTTTTATCATAGCCGTATTCCAAAACTCGCTGCCAGTACTGAAAATCTACAATATATGTATATGAAGTAAACTATAGATTTTCAGTACTGGTAATGAATTTCGGAACGCCATATTATTAATACTGATCGTTTTACTACATACATATCTATATACCGTTGTTATATACATATTTATTATATGTACACTATGTTTAACTTAGACATTATACGTACTTTATACTTGCATGTATATCAAACATAGAGCTGTCATTGTGTATAAATCGAAACACATTTATTCTATGATTTTCTGGTGTTAATTTTGATAGAGTTATCCATTGTCTGAAATAAATAAATATTAATTAGGATATCTTCATATGAATTCTCTTCTTTCTCTCTCTCTCAACTGTCAAATTTTGAATGATATGATATTTTACATTAAATATCATTAAAATATGTAAAATAAGAATTCGACATTAACTCGTGATATGCTGTTCAGATACTTATGTATATGTAGTTACTTACAAATATGTACTTGTTTGACTCAAATCATTATTGGTTACTAGATCACGATTGGAGAAAAATTCCGGCATCAGATTACGAATAGTATAATGCAAATCCAAGCGTTTTTTGGCTTTTTCTAAATCAAATTTTGCACTGTATATGTAGTACTTTAGTCGTTGTTCAGAGATATCTGTGAAACAAAATAATGTTGGTATAGTACATTAAGATTTCATAATAAAAAAAAAATCATAATAGATGCAATGAAAAGTACGTTGGAACCCTGCTATCTGTCAATGTATATATGTACAAGAATACGTGGAATGTAGCATATTAATTTATCTATCGTAATAAAAATCAATATTTTTTCTTGTATTATATATACAATAAAATATACATTACATTCGCAATATATAAATAAGTACATATATTAACATTTAAACAAAATTGCCGTTTATTATTATTCCGTTTTTATGTTGCATATTTTATATGTATTGAAATAATTATCATTTATCTATTATTAAAAAAATCGTGATATTTAACACAAGTATATTTATTATAAGAGAAAATTTTTTTTCAAATATTCAATTTTTGATTTCTGATCAACTTACCGAATACTTTGCATATATTCTCCACACTTATAATTACACTTAATTATGCATATATGTGTTATATGTTAGTTATATTTTTCATTATACATTAGTATATTTGTGGAATGTTTTTTCTAGATTTGAAGATGATATATAAATAAATTGGCAAATAAAATTATTTTTTTGAAATTTGAAATGCAAACCTTGAGGAAGATGGAGTTGCTGTTTCAGCCATAATCTAAATTTATCTAATAATTCTTCTAGAAGTTGTTCGTTTCCACCTACTTCTTCTAAAACTTCTTTCAGTAGTGGCATTTCAAGTTTAAGCATTTTCGTGATATTATTTGTTTTTTACAGAATTATGAGATGGACACTGAAATTATTGCAAATATTTTATTATATAATAATCATATTTGAATAGTATTAATGAAAGCAATTGTTTTTAACATATATGATTATTGAAAGCAATACTTTAGTATAAATTAGAGAGTTATGTTAATAGTTAACATAAACTTACAAATAATTGATAATAATATTTTTTTATATTTTTTAAAAGTATTCTTTTATAGTCTTTTTTTAAACACGTAAATATTTTTGTATACGTTATTACAGTACGCGTGTGTATACACTATTTCAACTGTTCGTTACGACGGCCAGTTCTCGACTGACCATATTTAAAATTCCTGACTGTCAGGAGCGTTGTTGTATTTCATAGCCTTTTTTATTTCTATTTAATGAGATGAGCTCATTGAATATATTCAGTTTAATAAAGTGTATGATTATTTAGTGACGCATATATATGTTTATGAAGAAATCTTGTTATTCCATAATTGTAAATTTAATATTTTACAATTATAGATTATTATAGATTATTAGAATTATAGATTATTTATATATTAACTATATCGCTATTTGATTGAAATGTATATTTTAAAAATTACAGTAAAATTTGTTTATTTGATTGTTTAATTTAAAATTATATAAATAATTGCTAAACAATTTCAAATTTTATTAATTTTAGTTAATAAACATTATGAAAAAAGATACAAAAGACAATATTTTATATCCTGCGATGTCTAATGAATTGTTTTAATTGTTATTTATTTGTTATTTTTTATACTTCTTATTTTTTCCTTCTGCTTTTGATGCTCTCGCTTAGTTTTATCTATATCTACAATTTCACAATATACGTGCACAATTTATTTCTACGCAGAATATCGCGTGTATCGGTCTGGATATTGCATCGAGTGCAATTATGTAAAAATTATGCTAATAGAAATTGCATAGAAAAATCTATTTATAATGCTAGTAAGAAGGATATAGAATGCAACAAGTCGATCACGGATAATTTCGATGAAAGAGAGTGAAAAGATAAAAAAAAGAAAAAATTTTAGAATCAAAGAAAAAGAAATGATTATAATGAAAAGAACTGTGTAAATATACCTACCTAATTATGTGATATTATATGTGTATGTAACATGTAATACCGTATGTGTAATAACTATTAATATTCAATAACTGTAATTATTAATACTTTCGTTTTACCTTGATCACTGCTCACTGATTACTGATTCCTTTTTTATGTTAGAACTCATATTGCAATTAATTTTTTTGTAAGTTTAATGTATTATTATTTCATAATTTTGTGATATCTGACCTATAAAAAATTTTGTGTAATTTATCAAAAATTTTGGATTATTTATTTTTTACATAGTGTATTTTTAAACTTAATTATGAAGATTTATTTGCAGCATTATAAAAGGTGCGTTTATGCACATGTACATATTTCATTACGTCATTTTTTTATAACTATTTAATATTACATTTGAATGTAAATTGTTGTTTGTGAACGATTGACATTACTTTAGACGTCATTTTAAATGTTTTTTTATCATAGAATTGTAAAAAGAATATGTATTTAATATCTTGATGCTTTATTTAAAAAAAAAAGATAATGTTTTATATATGGATATATATTAGTTAGAATAAAAAATGATATAAGAATATATAAAATAATATAAGATACAATATGCCAGTCGCATATTGTATCTTATATTATTTTATATATTCTTATATCATTTTTTATTCTAACTAATATATTTATAAAATTGTGCTCATTATAAGCGAACTGAATCGATAAACTTATCACTTAGTAGAAGCATTTAAAATTGTTTTAAATATACAATATTTTATTTAGAAATGTGAATGTTTATTATAAAATATTTGAAATATATAAAATATTTAAAAAGTAACGTTTTAAATAAAAAAACAAATGTTTATGTATATAGGAGAAGCTTAGTAATTTAGCGAGTTTTAGTTTTTTAATAAAAATATTTTAAAAATAGTCAATATATTTTTGGACTAAATATGTATAAAAACAACAGATTAACTGTAATTGCTGCTTGTAACAATATTTACAATGTTTATTTACACAAATAAAATAGAGATAGATTTGAAACAGAATGTAATTGTTTAATTAATAGGTTTCAATTGCTTTCTCTATCGCTTCTAAGCAATTACAAATAAAATTTAAATTTTTAGTTTGTATTCTCTCTTTCTCTTTCTTCTCTATATATCTTGATTTAATCATTTATAACAATTTCAAGACTAAAACTTCATTCTATTTACGGATACCATTCTAAATAGAAGATGTGTATTGTGGAATAGAAGAAAAGTAATATGATTTGTATACATGTATACGATTAAATCAGTCAATATCAAATATAATCCTCAAATAATGAAATTATTTATATTTTATTAATCTTTAATATTTGTTCAACTGGCACAATAAACGATTTTCGTGAAGATAGTTTATGACATAAAATGAGCACGATCAGAGAAACTATAATGTTGTATATGTATTTACGAGATTTATATCGGTCATATTTTTTATGTATTATTTTATACTTTTTGAGCCTCATGCTTTTTTACGCGTCTTTTTTCCATATTAATTGATTATACATTTCGATTATGCAAAAGATGTTGATTTTTAAAATGTCGACTAGTCTTACAAATATTTTAAAAAAAGACAAAAACATGTAATATTTGTTTAATAAGATTTTCTACGTTCTTGTGTAGCTTAAAATACATCCTATATACATAAAATAAATACATAAAACATAACAAATTCCTATATACATAAAATAAATACATAAGACAAATATGTAAATTGTAATTGTATGTTGCTATTAAATTAAAATCGCTGCTTAAATGACTGCAATATGACTCGAATCACAGTTTTTGGTTTCTTTTTTTCTGTATTTATTGCTATCATTACTTTGTCTATAGATATATCGTCCCTGTATACAATCTCACCTTACTCTGTAAGACTTTTAATTAGAAGTTTCTTGGTGAAGTCGATTAATACGGCCTGATGTAAGATTACATAGACTGCTTAACGTGATAGTAATTTTGTAGAAATAAAGTTTTTGTTAGTAAAATGGGTCATAGTTAATGTATACTATTAAATATTACTTTTTTAAATGATTAAACTTTCAGTGACTTTAAACATTGCTAGCGGAGAAAAAAAGTCATAAAATAATTTATGATAATCATATGTGAAATTATAATTTTGTGATCTAATCTAATCGATTTTAATAAATTTAAAAAACCTGTATAACCTGTATTTTAATAAATTTAGAAAGCTTGTATAACTAGTTTTGGGTCAACTGTGCAGTGAAAGTTACCTTCCAGAAGTTATCTTGAGCGTAATATTTATTAAGCAACCATTTATTTTGACTATGTCAAATTATCACATTTAGCTTTTTATTTTAGGAAGCATCTTGCTAAAAAATTTATTATATTGTTGTAATATATTTAAAAATGTTTTTAAATAATATTTAACATTATACATTTACATCTACTGTACGTTTAGAGTATTAAAAATTATTGTATTTTATTACAACAACAATATATATTTTTAAATATATATTTTTAAAATTAAAGATTCTAACATTGAAAAAAAAGAGTTGTTAATTTTACTACACCTTTCAACTAAATTATTATTTTGTTAATTGAACATATATATTAGTATTTAAATCAAATATACATTTTGTTAAATTTAATATATTATATTTGATATAAATATTTTTTATGTTTAATTAACAAAATAATATTTAAATATGCTGTTTTCTAAGTCGGACAATAGAGTCAAAGAAACGAAAAATTAATTATTCGGAACTGTATCTCAATTTGAGATCCCAAAGTTCCATATATAAATTAATCTCGAAACTTACATATGGAGAAATAGGCGCGAAAAATATAGGTCCGAAAAGTCCGAAAAGAACGGGTTCGATTCCCGCTTCAGCGACTTTTCGGACCTATATTTTTCGCGCCTATTTCTCTATATGTAAGTTTCGAGATTAATTTATATATGGAACTTTGGGATCTTAAATTGAGATACAGTTCCGAATAATTAATTTTTCGTTTCTTTGGCTCTATTGTCCGACTTAGAAAACAGCATATTTATATTCTTTATATTGAGAGCCGATAAAAATATTTATTTCTGAAAATAATATTTAATTGAAAATTTTAGTTAAGTTAACAAATGTTTTTTCAGTGAATACATTGAAAAACTTATATCGTAATATGTGAGGATGCAATTATGATGTTAATTACCGTTAAGTATATCAAATTAATATGGGAATATGTAGCGATGCCCTCCACTTGTAACGGTCATCGCTAATTACTCGGAATATCAAGCGTATCGAGAACGCGATTGAGTAGCTCGTCAACCATTAAGCATCCGAGTCTTGTTGGTACGACGCATCTGTCATGTTCATTGGCCGTACGTGTACAACAATCTACGTACATGGCCTGTACATCCATGTTCGCTCATTGTTGCTGCTTCACGAAAATGTTGTCAGTGGTCATTTTTCATGACCATACAGCTGGAAAATTGCTGGCACATTCTGTGGCTTTTGTGTTATATTTTTCTATTTACGGTCACCAAACATATTCAATTGTCATCAACTTTTCTACAAATAATATATATGTACACTCACAATTATGGAATCTTATTCTTCTTATTTACACATAATATAGGTTCAATAATACGAGAAAAACTGAAGACAATTTTAGCAATTGTTTTCAAAATGTTATTTAAAAACTTTCTTCATTATTATTTTATTATGTACTTATAGCAAATTCTTTTTATTAAACTTTTGTAGTTTTATAGATGTTATTTGTTTATTAATTACGACACTTTTATATTTTTAATTAATATCTCTTTATACTTATAATTCTGAAAAAATCAGATAAAGTAATTTAAGATTGTCGCTTTATCTAGCTTGAAAAAAACATTACTAGCGTTTCTATCGGCCATTTTATTCCCATATCCTTTTTCATTCCACGCGATCAGATCTTAAGAGAACGAGTTTTTAACGCGATTGCCGATTCATGAAGTGCGACAAATGCAGCTCTTCATAGCAGGTCAATGCATCCGCTCAAATGTCAATATAGAAGGTACGGCCAGCATCGAACAATGGACAATTTTCCTTGCGCGCGGGAAGTTTCGTGGCCGTTTCCGACCACGATTAGATAGGGAACAAGGTAATGGCGGGAGGTTCAATCTGCATTTGTAATGACGAACGGGGAGAAGGTGACACAGTGTCTGACCTCGGTGTGCGGGAACATTGGCCATCTATTAACCCCCAGGGCCATACGCCCCCTCCCGATTCTCTGTCACGAGAACCATTCCCCGACTATCATCCCTTAAACGATCCTTATAGTCGAAACTATTCTTCATCGTTTTTCCATTTGTTATAAATATATGCGCTCATAGGAATCCATAAAAATTATATAGCTAGACAATGCGCTTAAAAATCATTACTGTGATTATTACTAAACATATATCTATAATCTAACCAAAAATAGATATGCTTGCGATGTATAGCCAGTAATTTTGTTAAATGAACCTGCGCTTAATAGCACTTTATTTGCAAATCGTTTCCAGTATTTCGGGGACGGTAAACGTAAAATTTCTGCAGGGTTCGCGAGGAAACAGTCTGTACCATCATGAGATTTCATCGCTAATCTCTAGCATTAACTTAGTGTCCAATTGGAAACCGCTGTAATCTAGTCTATATTACCGAATTTAATTCCCTTAACGAGATCTTGCTAGTCGAGTATTTCGATATTTTGGGCTGGAGAGTCATATCAATTAATTATTATTTTTGTTGGACTCAATTTTCACGGACTGGTCATTTATAGTGAATTTTTCTTGGTTTCTCTTTATTATCTTTATTATGTTACATTTTCATTTGATTACGAATGTTACGTTGTACATTTTTTATGGTTAAATTCTGTAATATTAATTTTTCCCTGCACGTACTTCGATAAACATTGCTTTTTAACATGTTAAATACATAGCGATCAAATTCACGTTCTTTTGTTAAATGTACTATATCGTACTAACATAGTCATTCTACTAATTATGCTAAAACAAGCGAGAATAGAGTGTACGCATACCAGCAAAGATACCACAGAGTCAATCAATGGAAGCACAATTAATTAGAGATTGTTGATTACTTGCTTGTTTATTATAATTTCATCAACTATTAGCTACTTTATAATTAATGTTAATTGGAAAGCTTGTCGTACGTTTTTTTGAACATTGTGATAATTTATATCAACAGTATTGTGAATTAGCAAATAGGATGCATACTTTTAATTTGTGACATGCACCAGTAGCCAAAAATTAAACACATAACACGAGTTATCTGCGCTTTACCTATTTTCGTATTTTTCTTCTTGAAATATTTTGCAAGACATAACTATTTTTACTTGTCATCAATATTTTAAACTTTTATATATATACAATATATATATATATATATATATATATATAGATTATGATAACGAGTTGATAAATCGAATAAATAAATATTTGTTTTGTTATTCATATAAGAAATACGTAAAAGAAAAGAAAATATATACGATACATGTATATATTTTTATTTTCTTGTTTTACTTCTTACGTGAATAATGTAACAGATATTTGTTTATCAATTTCTCATATAATTTATCATAATTAGTTTTTTATATTTCTAAGAGATATAAAAAAAAGAGTGAGAATACGTATATTCAAAAAGTTGACCTAGATTGATTTTATCGTTGCGACATGTATGCGGCTGTAACACATTGCTTAAATATTTCACAGCATTGATGTATATTCATTAATTTCGTTTGCTTTGTTATTTCCAGTTTTGTTCAATTTATAACGTTAATTGCAATACGCTGCAACAAATGTGGATCTTTTATAAAACGTTCTGTACAGATGTTTTTTATATGGTAAATCCTATCGCGTCAGATTTCTTTGCAAATGTTTTTTTAGAAAATTAATATTCAAAATGAAACAATAATATAGTATATTTCTCGCAAGCGTACCGCATTACTTTCGGATAAATTGCGGAGAAAAATCGCTCACGTATCTATTAACAATTAAATAGCGAATTAAGAAATAAATAGCAAATTTTTCACGTGAGCGTATTCTTCGCCGAAACTGTATCAGCTGGGATATCACTCTGGCGCCAGCATCACTCGAGATAAATATTTGACGAGTAATTCTAGTATCATGGCTATACCAGTCCTGATGAGCGATGCGCATCGCCGTCGGCCTCGTCTGTCTCAAATGTTGTTCCTTATATTACTTTGTAAAATTAAGAGCTTCGGTTGGCCGATGCAATTTTTTTATAAGGATGAAAAAAACCATTAAAGGTCTCTGTGTTGCTAAAATTTAATCTAACGAAGGAAATCGACCTGTTTTGTCGCATAATTCGTGGGGAAATAAAAATGATTTTATTTGTTATTTTTTTGCCGTCTATCATAAAGTTTATTTACTCATTTATTTTTCTCTTCTATCCTGTTTACGTCATCACCTGCGTCACCATTAAAACCAGCGAGAAATATAACCCGTTAAAAATTTGTTTTAGTGACATAATTAAAAAAAATGTTAACGTCACGTTTCCACGGAATGTTCTATAGAAAACCGAGAGGATGTAGAGCAATATAGATGACGAGACATCTCTATTTAATTAGCGTGGAGCTTTGCGTATACTGTCGGTATTGTTTTGTTCCAGCAGAACGCTAGCAAATTTCAAAGTGCAGAGCGAAACTGTTGTAGGTTGAACGTGAAAAAAAGCGGCGTGCTCTCGAGGCCGGATATAGGTGTCTGAGCATTAAACATTCAGAGTCCGTTTCAATTTGTTCCGTGAAAGCGTCGAGGACTTTGAAGCGTACAAAGGTTGCGTACCTTACTCGAATATGTTGCAACATACTGATTGGAGGGATCAAAGCCTGTAGGAACGGACGGTATTTAATTATCCGACCACATTGAAGAACGGTATTCATCAACGATGGGATTGCTCGTAGAAGCTGATTTGCTTGGTTTTACACTGCACTGATACATTCCTTGCAAATTCTAAACACTTGCTGGTGCTTGATCACTCTAAATAGACTTAAATGTTGTTCTTTTGCTGCTTTGCGATCACGTCGGGCACGATTCGCCCCTGCAGGATTAACTAAAAAATTCACAGTAAAGAGTCGGTTGATACCGTATCGTTCGCTTCTAGTATAAGCTCCTTTGTTCTTGTGTTTGAATGCTCGTGCTTCGCCACCACGACCAACCGGAAGGGTATTGACAATGAATTTTACGCACGGAAGAACCGCTCGTCCAAGCCAGCAGATTCGGTACTTGGACAGGGATGGAAATGAATTCGATTGGAGCAGGTCGTCTTTTTTTTATTCTTACTTTTCTCTGTCCGTGACTGTCCTTCTTTTTCTTTTTTTTTTTTTACGGGGCGTAAAATACTGGCCGTTGGCTGGTGTTAGTCGTAAATTGGTTACCGATCTTGTCTGCTTGGAGAATCAGAGCTTTTCGATGCTGTCTGTGGATTCTGGCGGATACGTAAACGTTATCTCATTGTCGCTTCGTTTTATCGATCCAATGATAGCTTCTTTTTATTGTCGCGAGAAAAGTAAAAGTCTATATCTTAAACGGATCGCGGGAAATTGTCGCAAAGTGATGACGAAGTAGATTCAGGAAGAATCTTTGAAGAATTTAAAGAATTATTTGTTTAATGTTACTGTATTTTATATAAATTTAAATAGGCTGTCATATAAGCTATAGATATAAAAAAATTTGCTATTTTTATATCATAGAACTCGAGATATTTCTATGAAGAAGGGAGGAAGGATTTAAAATATTTTTTAAAATAATTTTCAAATAAAGAACGAATTAATGAAAAGGATATGAAGCAAATTTTTACAGAGCTTAGTATTAAATTTTTATGAAGAAATTAATAGCTCCATTACTCTATTATGACTGCTTAATGGATTCATTTTTTTTTCAGATCTGCGCAAATAGCGGACTGAAAACCGCGCGAAAAAAAAGCGAGAGCTTTGCTGCACTCTTGATCAGGCATTATATTTCTACCGATTAATTATCTTGCAGCGATATGTCAAACCCTTCGTCCATTGCCCTTCGTGCATCCTCGGCGTCGCTCGTCCTCGATCGGTCAAGTTTGCTCCAGTCCGCACGCGCTGAAAGGGCGGTGGGGCTTGCGAGCTTTCAAGCGCAGAGCTTCCGCTCATTCGTCGTTTTGCGTTTCTCGCGGGCACTTCGCGAGTAGTTCGCGACAGTTCGGGTGACATATACGCGTGTGTTTCGTCCCGCGTGATGGGATCGTATACTTTATGGGACCGCGTTTGAACGATTAATCGATGCGTTTGTCCCGCGAGCTTAACGCATCGGTCGTTTCGATCGATCGGGATCGCGAGAAACACCGGCGAAAACTTTTCGGAGCGTCCATCGATCGTCAGTGCGTTCCCGTAGTTTCATTCCATTAAGAAATTTTTTGAAGACTGTGTGCGGCAAAGAGTCTCTTTGGGTTTGTCGAATTGTTCTCTAGCTACAGTGTTGCTTGTTAGCGATGGGATAGTGGAGAGACACCAAAGTGTTATTCGGTTAATTGAAATTTCGTGTAGCTCGAATGGCGCCAATCGTATTTTATTGTTTTAAACGCTTAGGCTTAACATTTGATATTCAACGGATGTTTGATCTCCTACGGGGGTTACCTCGTTACGGATTAATCACGCGGGATTAAGGTCGTTGCTTCGAGGGCAATGCACTAGGAGTACCATGCGCAGTATACATGAAATTGATAAGAAATTGATTTTTCAGAAGGATCTTTGTTACATGAGCACATTCATACTTTTAATAAAAGATTTAAGTAGCTTTCGTGCAGCACGTTTGTTTTAATTTCTCCATCATCTATATTAAGAGTCGTTCTTTTCTGTAGTACTACATATATATAACTATCCTATAATTGCGGGTATGTAAAATCAAGTTTATATTAATGTATTATGTTTTTCTAAATTATTCACTGCAGCTTAGTTAACGCTAAATAAATGGCAATTTGTAGATCATTGTGTTAACAAGAAAATAATTGTTTAACTCTAAATGGTTATAATAATTATATCAATTACTCTAATTATGTCAATTAATAATAGTACATATTTTATATGCAGGACAATATGTTGACAAGTTTACTTTGAAAATATTGAGTACATATGAATTAATTTATTAAGTACATATATAATTGAAAATACTGCTCATAAAAAAATATCTGCATAAAATAACTATAAAATTAAATGCATATTTAGCCGCATTTTTTCATCAGGAGCTTCGATCTTTTTCAATAAAACCTCTAAACATTTTTGTTATGTTAAATCAAGTTAAAAAGAAAATTGATTTAACGAAACATTTCAGTGAAAATGTTTTTTTCTCTCTCAGCCGTCCAGAGGTATTTAATTTAAAATAAAATACACCATTCTCTCTTTTGCCTCGCGTGCATTTGTATTTCTTTTTTTAGTCGAAAGTCCGAATGTACTCTACAAAATTCCAACTATCTCGTTGTCTAATTTAAAAATAAAATTTTTTACATAATTTATCATTGAAATGAAATCAGAATACAACTCATAAATATATAGATTTAATAATGTAGCTCACTGTACAGTTTATTATGATTATTTCGATATTATTGGCACTAAGATATAAAATAATAGTATAAAATAAAATGAGCGGATTATCCGGTGCTATAATTTTCAATTTGTTTTCTCGTAATTTACGGAAAAATTAATATAGTATCGCATTACACTTTTAAATTTGAACATTAAGAATTTTGAGTGTTTTGTATGTGTATCTCTCTGGTGTTTTATGACATGTAAACTGGAAGTAACGAGCATCTACGCACGATAAAATACGCGTGTTCATTAAACCGAATCCTGTTATGAAAATGGGAAGAATCGCGTATGGACGCGCGTTGAGTATCGTCGAGGCGTTTTATATGCACGATTTCATCTACGTACTATGCGTGTAAGCGAGACGCGTGAGTAGAGCCTATACGGCAATTGAATTTTGCAATGGCTCGATAATTCGCAATTAAACCATCTACTCGACATTGTTGTACAATGAATGAGCTCGCGTGTACGTGCAAAAGAGGCCACGGCCGATAACCGATAAAAATGTCTTCTTTTAAAGGTAGCTTGTTGTAATGATGTTTATATGGTAATATTACAAAAATAATCAGAATTGACGCAAATGCGCCATGTGCCTTTTTGCGTAGAGTGCTTTTTTATATATTATCTTTTAATTTAATTATATTTTGCAACCGAAATTTTTTTAGTGAAATATGTTAAAGTTTACGCTTTATTATACAATAGTATTTTGCTAGGGAAAATATGGGAAGGCAAAAAGCCTAATTGTGGTGAGAAATAAATTGCGCTGGTTTATATTAATTTTGTTTGTGGAATCTTGAATTATGTTTAAGAAATTCAATTTTCAATATCAGTAAGGTTCGATAATTTCGATAATCGATACTCGGGTTTTACATTAAATTTCGTATACATACACATGTACATATACATTTATACAGACTTTTTATTACTTTCTAGAAGCACATTTAAAAACTACATAGTTATATACTCGCGCGATAGTTGTGTGTTATTAATGATGAATTTTGTGCGAGGATGAACATTATACGGTAGAAAATGTTACGACTGAATTATGGTGATATGTGGAAATGAACGTGTGACAAGTTTCGCCAGCGAGAGAGACAGCGTGCTAGTGACATTGTGTCAGTGTAGAGTGCGTAGAGCAGTTAATCTACATCCCATTTCATTTCTAGAATTGTTAATTTGAAAACGCGTCATCTTTTCAGATCTCAAGATAATTTCGAGACAGTGTACTACCAAGTGCATCTTTAATTCCTGCGGCTTTGTGTGCGGACTTCGAGAATTGGTGAGTCACACACTTACATGATACATTTATTTATAACATTTATATATATCGAGAAGATTGATTCTGCATTCTTTTTTGATTCGTCTACTATTCGCAATTATATACAATTGCGCATCTTTATAATCAACGTTATAAGATGTGACGACTGTTGTATTATGAAATGTCAAAGATCTTTCATATGAAATAGAATTATTATGAAATAGAAAATAATGCTTGCTCGTATATATCAGCAAGGACAAGTGTGTTATATACATTTATGACGCAATCATGTTACGAAGAGATAATTTATTCGTTCTTGTAAGAAAAATAATTCACTCTGCGTATGAATATCTTATAATTTGCTGTTTTACACTTTTAATAGAGAGAATTTTATGGAGAGAACTTGTAGAAAACAACGAACAAGATCAGAGTAATATAAGAACATATTTTAATCACATTTTTTAACTAATTCTAATTTTTTCATTACACACATGATTTATATTAATTACTTGAGACGCGTTTCTTGTTCAAATAAATCTGTTATAAATAATATATATATATATTATTTTTTTTATAATACTAATACAATTACAGGAATATTATTACAGGATATCATTATATATATATATATATATATATATATATATTTTTGTATTATACTTATTCATTATTATAAAAAATATAGAATTCCTTAACTGTGAAAGATTGAAACTCTGATTGAATTCAGATGGTGCATATGAGAAAGAAATTTTTAATTTTATTATTATGTAGGTAGCTACACGAGTGTATTTTCACGCTTCGTTATCGAAATAACGAATAAGAGAGGCGTGAGACAAGGTGAATGACCATCGAAAAATAAAACAAAATAAATAGCAATAGGAAAAGCGTCATACGAGTGCAGAATCAAACTTGATGGTATTCGTGTCCAAATCCCTATTCCATTGATATACGATGTGGCGAAACAAAATCTGAAAAAAGATCGACATGGCTCGTACATCGATGCCAATTTAAAAAAATGCGTTCGTTCGATACGTCCAATGTGGTGTAGGAAAACTTCATTTTTCGCGTGTTTTCGTGAATAAGATCGATCCAACTTGTTATTTTGTTTATCACTCATAGTGTTTCGATATTGTTTTAAAATATTTCATATTTTTTTAGTATAAAAGCTTTGGAGCATTTCAAGCCCCATATACAGCGAGAAAATTGTAAGGAATTAGTAAGAGCTTGTAATACCTTTAAATAGGTGTTTAAAATAGCAATCTGTAGCTAGAAAATCTATATAATTAACCGCGGACTAATAGATTTCGCTGCGAATAATCGTCAAAGGGAGATGCGCGAGAGTGATGGTCTGTAATTCGGAAGCCGTGATTCAAGAAAAGGAAGAAGTTAACACGGGCTTGGTACGTGCCAAGACTATTTCGAAAGAGTTACTGGCGACGCTAATATCAGTAATACCAACCCCACAACCGTCGCGATATTTCGACCCCAAAGCTGCTGCAGCCGCGTTCTGGAAGCTATCCAACGGATATACCTTACGATACCCATTCCACCGTTTCCGAAAAGCGGGCGATGTTAAAGAGGCCTAGATTCGGAAGATTTACAACGGCATGTTAAATGCGTAAGCACCAACAATGCGGGAAAATTTACAAAAATTCGTAAATGATATGTCGATTTTTTAAAAAATTATATTTCTATTACAATATTTTATATATATTTAAATTATATATTTTTCGTCATATTTAATATACATTTCTCGCTTCATTACTTTCGTACATATTTATATAATTAATATTCAAATGAATTTTTTGCAAGAGCATGAAACAAAATATGAATAAATTAGCTAGAAATATTCATCAAAATATAATATGTGTATATGTGACGGGATATATGCATCACGTGGTATTTGAAGTATCGATAACATTTAAATGCGAATCATTGCTCGGCAATATGTGATAGGAGGTGGTAGAAAACATGAATACACATACGAAGTACGTATTGCTGTCGACCCGCGGCTTTTCGACAGGCAAAAGGACGAAAGTCCCCTTGATTTAATTTTACTGGATTCCCTTGCGCTTCGCGTGGACAGGGCCACAAGAGAGGGTACTGAAATTCTCCGGTAACACCGGGCCAATTTCCAGAAGGGTTCACCGAGTGGACGACAAACATGCGCTTTTGAATTTCCACGCTGTTCCATACGACATAGAATGGTGTCTCCGAGCACACCAAGTGCTTTGCTTTTCAGATTTGAGCTTTCCGAATATAGCATAGTCTATTTCCTCCGTGCTTCGAGTTAAACTTCGATTATCACACGATTCCTATATCGAGATTTTCTTTAGATTAATATCATATTTCGAGTCGTTAATTATCAATGAGAGATAACTTATATGGACGATACGTGATATTTCATGAATTAAATATCTTTTGAATGGTAATTACAAGTATGCATTAATTATCGAAAAAAAAGAAATAAAACATTTTTAATAAAATTCCGCATGAAGAAAATATTCAATAACTGGTTCGTTTTTCTATACGTGGCTGACGGATAATTGAGATATATTTTCAGTGATTTTTACAATAATTTTGGGAAGGATCTATTCCCCTCATGCGGAATAAGCTTTCGGTGCCGCGATATTTCCTGCACAAAGCAATTACGACACGAATATGGGAACCCATCCGCAGGAATTTTGTTCGTAAATCTTAATTCTCTTGAAAATGGAAATGCAATCCGAGATACGTTTGGATTTCAGCTATGCGTAAATGGTATATACGGATCGATCGTACGAGCTTCGTTTATTACCGCGTAAAAGGAATTTGAGAATCGCGAGACCGACTCAGAGACGCGACGAGTATTTCGAAAATTATTTAATTAACAATTATGAAATCCCATAAATATCAATCCAGTGACATGCGCACGTGTCACAGAGACACGCATATCAGCCGCGACTTTTCGGAGCTCCGGAAAGTGAATCAGATTTCTTGGAAGTGTGATGGTTCTGGAGAAGAGAGATTTCTGAATATACACAACCCCACGTCTTTCACGTACGCAACCACATATGCGAACAAAAATGCCATGATAGCATAAGAACGCGGGGCTGACGCGGGACAGAGACTTTTAATATAAAATACCAGACGTTCCGGATTCTAAAGCTACGGACTGATCCTGAGAAAAGAGGAGAAAAATATTGATACCGCTACCAAGTTTGCCGCATGTGACGAGTTTTCCTTTATCATCGGATCACCGACCGTGAGCGCGAATATTCTCAGTCGCCGCGAGTCATGCTTATTTCGCGATTTTCATGTCGGATTTTTATATCGAAACTATCGCAGTGCGCACGTCACGAGCAAAATATCAGGCCATGGAGAACATGAAAAAATAGAATGAAAAAATCTGTATTTGAATTATCGGTAAAAAAAGGTTAGACTTTTGTATGCGATAGAGCCGAGCAAATTTGCACTTTATTTTAATAATGGCGATAAGAGCCATGTTTTAGAGAATAATATTTGTCTGCATACGCTACGGTATAGAATAATTTCGCGCGAGCAAGAACTTAAGTATCAGAGCGATATTTTATTCAGTTCAATCTTCAGCTGGCCGACCCACATCTCGATCCGTTTCACTACTTCTGACACAAGAATGACTCTTGGAGTAAGCTTCTATAGAACTTCTGAAGATCTGCTATCTTTATTCCACTGTCACACCCTGAGGAACACACTCGCACCGCGGTCGATCTGAATTACCAATGAGCATTCCGATCACGTTGTCCCGAGCGAGCTGTTCGCGCGGAATAAGTGAGCCTCTTTCGTAAAACCAAGAGGCCAAAACAAAGGGGGCGAGTAAATGGAAAAAAAAATGTGTTTAAAAAAGATAAGTTAGATGAAATCGCGGCTTAGTTCGCCGATTGACGACTTGATGATCATCCCCTAGCGCGATCATGTATATATACATTATATGTATAACTTTTATACCGACTTTTTTGCCGAAAACGAGGAACGTTCAAACGAACAAAGCTATATATACTTGACGTGTTTGATCATGTAAAATATTTTGCAAAATTGTTGCTTGTAGAGAGAAGCTCGTGACTGACTTTTGCGTAATAGTTAATACAAATAAAAATAATGGTGGTCTCGATACTGTGTGTTTTATTTATACATACATAGAAAAACTATGTAATTTTTCACGTGGAAAAATTAGCATGAAATATTCGCTTATATTAGAATGTATAATTGTTGGTATCGTTCGTATTGACTTGTCTGATAGATAAATTGCATACTCAAAATTTTTATAAGATGATGCATGTTGAATATATATTAGAGAGAAATAGAAAAAGGGAAAGGAATTATTTTATTTATCACAAAATTGCTATAACTGCGTACGTTTTATATTTTCTGTACATGTACATATATATTTTGCTCGTTATAATATATGTGATATACAATCAAGATCGATACAATATCGACCATTATTGTTTTTATTTGTATTTGCATGCTGATCTATAACAAATTGCTACTTATAAATGTTTATTGCCATGAAGAGCTGAAAGAAATTTAGGACAGCTTTTCTTTATTGCGGCCTTATTTTCGTCAAAGTGTGTGTCAGAGTGTGCATCTGCTTACCTATCGCGATATTCCTCCATCCTGCCTTTCGTAACCGCTCACGGAAGCCTACTTTTCACGGATAAAAATCAATGGTGCATTTTCGCGCACGTCTGCACACGAGGCACGTCGGCATAGAAGGCACTTTTCCCACGAAACACCTCGAACTCGTAGAATCCCATAAGGCGCTTAACTTCCCGACTTTCATCGCTATTCCATAGCGAGGCATCACTTTTCCCTCTCATCCTCCTATTTTCAGGAGAACTATCTACCATAAGAACATTCACACCTAAAGATTTTGCAGTTCGTCTTTACACATATTCGTCTTAAGCTCTTTAGTACCTTTTAGAGAATCTGATGGCCGAAACACTTTCCGGCATTTCAATTCATGTTTAAAATTTGTTATTTGCTACTAATAAGTTGTGTCT